GAGAGAGAGAGAGAGTGTGTGTGTGTGTGTGTGTGTGTGTGTGTGTGTGTTCGCAGAAGAGAGAATGTGTATGTGTGAGGGAGAGGGAGAGGGTGGGAGGAAAGAAAAACAGACAAACAGTAGAGCAGAGTGACATCACTCACACACACATGTACAGCAACACGTGTATACACGGGTACACGTGTACACATACCCATGCGCTCAAGTACAGAATATACACACGCCAGTACAATCACATGTGCACAACTCACTCGTGCTTGAACGATTCAATGTCGAGGCCAATGCGGCGCAACTGGTGCACGTACTGCCTGGCCTCCAAGCTGTGCAAATAAGCAAAGGCAGCGTAGCTGCAGCACAGCACCATGCCTGCCGTCACAAACTTGGTGATGGTCTCCATCGCAGCTGATGACACAAGCCCTGCACAAGAGGCGCGCGCGCACGTGTGTGTGTGTGTGTGTGTGTGTGTGTGTGTGTGTGTGTGTGTGTGTGTGTGTGTGTGTGTGTGTGTGTGTGTGTGTGTGTGTGTGTGTGTGTGTGTGTCGTATGACGCAAGAGGCAGACCAAGCGTGCACATCAAGCATAATGTGATGCTTGAGCAGGTGGTGTGCATGTCAAACCCCAAAGCATTGGTTTGGGTGGCCCAGCATGCTGCGTTGTTCCTCCGCACCTGCTGGGAGAACACCGAAGAAGTCGAACGTGACGCCGACAATGACAAATCCACCGGCAGTGGCGATGCTGAGCGCTTTCTTTGCGCGCGAGCTGTGCACGCGCTCCTCAAACCGAATCTCCCGCAACACCCGGGCAAGGTGCTGCTCAAACCTGAGGATGCGTGGTGGCGGTCGTGGTGGTGGTAATGAGCGAGACACCGGTGGTGACGCACTCATGCAGACCCTGGTCAAGAGGAATCGATGCACAATCACATGCCAACAGCGGCACGAACACAGGTACCCCTCAGCACTCTACAGCAACATGACACACACACACACACACTCACACACACACACACACACACACACACACACACACACACACACACACACACACACACACACACACCTCTGGCATGCGAGGAGGGCGCGGCGAGTGAGATCCATGGCCTTTGGAATGTCGTCTGCTTCGAGAGCAGCCTCAATCTGTTGTGTGATGCGACGCATGCCACGGTGCTGTGAGAAGCACGCCAGTCCAACGCACACACACACACAAAACGCGCGTGCACACAAAACGCACGCACACAAAACGCACGCACACACACACATACTCAAACACACACACACACACACACACACACACACACTTACTCACACTCACTCACTCACGCGCGCACACACACACAAAACGCGCACGCACATACACACACCAACGCACTGCATCACGGCGGCGACGAAGCGTGTCCAGACGCTTGTGCAGGCGCTTGAAGCCAGCTGAATGATGAGAAAGACACCAAAGTGTGGGGCAAAGTAGGGCAGAGTGTGAGGCCCAGAGGCACAGTGCTTTCCACGCACAGAGAATAAGGGAGCAAATAGCACTACGCACATGCACACGATGAAATGTAAACAAACACACTCCACACAACGCACGATACAATACACACAACATACGCACAATACACAATACACAATACACAATACACAAAACACACACAGCATACTCACCTTCTTTGAACGCTTGAAAGCCGGCGTCGCTGAGACCGAGGGTGACCTCGATGACGTGGCGGCCATAGAGGATGTCCAGCTTCTTGTTCAGCTCCTCGGACTGGCTCACGGGGACAAGGGATTCCTTTTCCTTGAACGAGAGCAGCTCGCGCTCCCACGCCTCCAGCTCATCACGGGCGGCACCGTTGCTCATGAGCGGCCCATTCTTGATCTCGTGCATGCGCCAGTCTGCGAGCAGGAGATCCGGGTCAACATCAGTGCCGCACTGGTGCAGCACGGCGAGGGACGGGTCAACCTCGCGCGGCACAAGCGCGTCGCGGTCCCCGCCGGGAAAGGCAGACGAATACAAGTGTGCCTTTGACGACGATGAGGACGAGGAGGAGTGTGGGTACTTGTGGGCCACGTGCAGCGGCGCATACGGCGTTGGATCCGTCTCATCCGCCACAATCCGCACACCCACGGCCAGCAGCCCTGCTCCGGCCTTCCTGGAGTGCTTCACCATGCGAGACAGCAACATGGCTGCGTCAACGCCCGAGAGTGAGGGGAGGAAGGTGGGGGAAGGCTAAGGAGGATAGGGTGCGCTGGTGTTCGACGTGATGTGATCTGGATGGACACGCAACAGGCAGAAATGTGCTGTGCTGCTGTCCTGTGAGACACAACAACAGCCTGAAATCCAAACATAAACAACGCAATTTTCGCTGACTCAGCAGGTGCGAAGATGACAGCCAAGTCGGTGCTGCTGACAGCAGCTGCAGTGGCTGTGTTGGCTGGGGTGTGTCTTCTTGGTAGCCTGAGCGTGCGTGTGCAGGCGACGCTCGTGGCCGTTCAGCAGCACCAAGTCGTCCACGCTGATGTAGCCGTGTACGGATCGACACCAGGTGGCATCATGGCAGCGGTGGCAGGTGCGTACATGTGTGTGTGTGTGTGTTTGTGTTTGTTTGTTTGTTTGTGTGTGTGTGTGTGTGTTTGTTTGTTTGTGTGTGTGTGTGTGCTTGTGTGCTTGTGCTTGTTCACTTGTGTGCACACTTGTCACACTTGTGCACACACTTGTCACACTTGTGCACAAGTTGGTTTGGTTGTATCTGCCCTCGTCTGGTTGTTCTGCTTGCACTCGCATTTACTAATCTCAGCACTACTACGGCTCCCACAAACACGCACCACAGCCTCACGCGGCGGAGCCAATGTCACGTTGGTCTCGGCAACAACACTGATTGGAGGCATGTGCAGCAGCGGCCTGGGAAAAACCGACAAAGGTACATGTTTCACGCACCCACTGACTGACTGACTGACTGACTCACTCACTCACTCACTCACTCACTCAATCACACACACACATACACACACACACTCTCTCTCTCACGCACTCACTCAATCACTCACTCTCTCGCTCTCTCACTCACACACGCTCTCTCGCTCACTCACCCACTCACTCACACCGCCACTTGATAGGCGACCCATCTGTGATTGGAGGGCTGGCGCATGAGTTCTTTGGGCGTGTCGGTGCACGTTACAACTCCACCGAACCCGTGTATGATTTTGAGCCCCACGTTGCTGAGGCCACCTTCCATGACATGCTGGCCGACGCGAACGTCACTCTGGTCCTCAATCAACACGTACGTGCACCTGCACCTGCACTCTGTGTGTGCGACAACTTGGAGCAACCATCATGTCAGTTCCTGCGATCAAAGCTGTCTTTTCAAGTAGGATACAATCGCAAGTGTTGTAACCACTCATTGACCAAGGTTGCCTACTCATCCACAGGTGACGAGACTAGTCAAGCGGGACGACGATCCCACGGTGATTCATGCACTCCAGTTTGACCAAGACCTGACTGTGATCGCCAAGCGGTTCATCGACGCCTCCTACGAGGGAGATCTGCTTCCCTTGGCAAACGTCTCCTTTACCATCGGCCGCGTGCGTACCTCTGTTGCTGCACGCTGCCTTTCCTCCATGCACCGCATCGAGCAAGTGAACAGATCACCTTCCTCTGCTCATGACATGTGCGTGTGCATGTATACGGGTGTGTGTGTGTGTGTGTGTTTTGGCGTGCATACGTGTTTGCACGTGTTCTCACTTGTGCGCACGTTCCCTCTCCCCGACATTGCTGTAACTAGGAAGGACAACAGCAGTACAACGAGTCCCTTGCTGGCTTCAGAGGTCTGCGTGCGTGTGTGTGTGTGTGTGATGTGATGTGTGTGTGTGTTTGTTTGTGTGTGTGTGTGTGTGTGTGTGTGTGTGTGTGTGTGTGTGTGATGTGATGTGATGTGTGGCCTGCAACGGCAAAATTTGTTGCGTGTGCGCCATTGCCGATGATCGACATCATCCACGCCGTGCACTGCATCCTGCCTTGCGCAGGTCGTGCTATGGGCCACGAGTTTGGCGTTGCGGTCGACCCCTTTGACGCGCACGGCAATCTCCTACCCCTCGTATCCCCGCAGCCAAAGGAGAAGGTGAGCTGCAACCCCTGCTCTGGCGTACTCCTGTCGAGTTTTCTTTTCTCTTGGAGTCCACATGCGCCTGAGTAGAATGGGCCTGATTTTCCATTGCTTCATGGGCATGTGCATTTACATGTGCGGTTGGTTTCGTGCAGGTTGGTGATGGTGATGGGCGCGTGCAGTCGTACAACTTTCGATTGTGCGTTACGCAAGACAAGACCAACAGGGTTCCATTCGCCAAACCACCCAACTACAACGCAAGCGCATGGGAACTGGCCCGAAGGTGTGCTTTCGCATGTCCATTGCTGGCGTGTTGTGCCACCGCCTTGAGTGTATGTCTTCTGCATCTGAAACCGCAAAACAGGGCGTGTCATGGGAGCTTGCTTCTCCGCTAACCTGACGCCTGCCACGACCGACGCGTGTGTGGCATGCCAGACTGTTTACGGCAGCGGTGCCGCCTGCGTCGCGCCTTCCCTCAGGTAACCTTGGCCCGCTGCCAAACGGGAAGTTTGACATGAACAACGACGGGCCCATCTCCACCGATTTCATCGGGGGGTCGCAGGACTGGCCAACAGCAACGCCGAAGCAGCGGTAGGCATTTTTCCTTGCATGTTTGTGAACCCTCTGCTGTCCGCATGCTCATGTCCGCCCCAGCATGTGTGTGGACACTGTACGACGACATCACCATTCAACAACAACAACATTCAACAACATTCAACAACAACAACAACAACAACAACATTCAACAACAACAACAACAACAACAACAACAACAACAACAACAACAACAACAACAACAACATGAAGGGAGATCATATGGCAGGCACACAAGGAGTACACGCAGGGCCTGTTGTGGTTTCTCTCTCAGGTGAGATGAATGGTGCAAAACTGCTCTGTCCACTTGAGCTGCGCG